ATGTCTGAGAAGAAGGCATCAGCATGTAAGCAGCAGGAGCAGGGGTCTAGCCCACTGACAGGTTGGAACTGTAGGTAGATTGAGTCCAGGCCGGAAGCCGTTCTTCTTGTTGTTTCCATTTGGTGGTTCTGGGGTTAAAGCATCTCCTGTTTAACCTTCCTTTTTATTTCTTTCTTCTCTGTCTTAGTTAGGGTGACTGTTGCTGTAATGAAATACCATGACCAAAGCAGCTTAGGGAGAAAAGGGTTTATTTAGCTTACACTTCTATATCGCTGTTCTTCATTGAAGAACGTCAGGACAGGAACCCAAACAGAGCAGGATCCCGGAGGCAGGAGCTGGTGCAGAGGCCATGGAGGGCGCTGCTGTCCAGCCTGCTTCCCATGATCTTCTCAGCCTGCTTCCTTCCTTCCTTCTTTCCTTCCTTCCTTCCTTCCTTTTTAAGATTTATTTATTTTTATAACTTTCTTTTTATTTTTCATTTATTCTTTGTGTCTTTCACCTCATGCCTCCTGATCCCACCCATCTCCCCCCTCCAACTAAAATAAAATTTAAGAGAAAAAGTAAAAAGAAGAGGGGGAAAAATCTCATCATGGAAGCTGCAGTGTGACATAATGAGTATGCAATAAACCCTTTTATCCATACATTTTTACATGCAGGCATTTATAGCAAAGAATCATTGGTGTGGTTCAAGGCTTCCAGTTTCTGCTACACCATCAACACTGGGCTCTCTTGGGACTCTTCCTGAACATGCCTTTGCTGCCCTGTCATTGAGATCCTGTGGCCCTGGGTCCCCAGGACTGACACCCTCCCACCCCCCTCCCCTACCCCTGTGCTCCACAGGTGGGGTGAATGCTGGGATGGGCTAACATGTAACCCTGACTCTGGGCCTAGGTAGTTGCAGGATTGATCAGCTTGCCAGCTTTCCCCTGTCTTTGCTATGAGGGTTAACTCTCCAGCATTGACTTGCTAGTTCACCTCTTGCAGCAATGAGCAAGGGGCGGGGCCAGTTCTCTGGCTCTCCTGTCCTCAGGGTTAGTCTCCCACACCTACACCTTCAGGGCCAGCTCTACTGTGTTGCCCAGGTGAGGTGTAGGGGCCACTCTGCAGAGTGTTGCAGCTGATGAGCAGGGACAGTTCTCCTGCCTGCCTCAGACATTGATGGGTGGGGAGGAGTAGATTTCTTCCCCACCCATGATGCCACATGACAGATGAGTAATGGGGATGGCTCTCCCACGCTCACAACTTCAGGGCTGCCTCACCCACACCTCCACCAACAGGGTGGTGTCTGTTGTGCTGCCCAGGTTGAGGTACAGGGTCTGCTCCCATGAATGCTGCAGTGAGTGGGGGACAGAGCCAGCTGTCCTGCTTTTATGACCCTAGTTTAGGGCCAGCTCTCCCATCTGCCTCAGGGGTTAATGGCAGGGTTGGGGTGTGGAGGAGCAGCCTGCTTTCTTAAAGAATGCAGGACCACCATCCCAAGGATAGCAACAGGGACTGTGAGCTGGACCCTCTCCTACCAATCACTAATTTAAGAAAATGCCTTATCTCCAGAATTTATGGAAGAATTTTTCCAGTTGAGGTTCTCTTCTTTCAGATAACTCTAGTTTGTGTCAAGTCGGCATAAAACTAGCCAGGACATTCTCCAAGCAGCTTTTTACATTATGGTTGCAATTATCAAGAAATAAAATTGTAGCTGGTATGTATGGCGATATGCACCTTTAATCCCAGCACTAAGGAAGCAGAGGCAGGCCAACCTAGTCTACAGGGTGGATTCCAGGACAGCCAGAGCTACACAGAGAAACCCTGTCCCAGAGAAAAGTGCAGTGCACCTGGACAGCCCTGGCTAGCTCATCACAGAGTGAGGATCCATAAGAAAGGAATAAAATAAGAGGCTGGAGAGACGGCTCAGTGGTTAAAAGTGCACACTGTTCTTGCAGAGGGCCCGAGTTTGCTCCCAGCACATGTGAGGTAGCACACAACTGCCTGTAACTCCAGCTCCAGGGTTCTGACATCCTCTTTGGCCACTATGGTCACTGCACTCAGATGTAGTGTTCATGTGATAGGCCTTGCTCTGGCTTGCATTCTCTTACTTCTACCCATCTACCCCCACCACCTGGCCCTTTTTTTCAGTGTTGGATCTAGATCCAATTCCTCACACCTGCCAGCTCTCCTCTCAACCCCTGAGTTTCTTTTCTTTCCGTTTTCTTCTTTTAAAGGTTTATTTATTGTGTATACAACATTATGTCTGTATGTATCCCTGCAGGCCAGAAGAGGACACTAGATCGCATTATAAATGGTTGTGAGCCACCATGTGGTTGCTGGGAATTAAACTCAGGACCTCTGGAGGAGCAGTCAGTGCTTTTAGCCTCTGGGCCATCTCTCCAGTCCCTTAGCCCCTAGGTTTCTTAAACCAATAAAATAATTTGGTTTGGAGGTAATTCCCAAAGATGCATCTGTCCTGGTATTCAGGATTCTTTGAGGTTAGTTTTCCAAGATTACCCATTCTGTTGTCACATGGCCAAGCAGGAAAGCAGTCTCTGGGCTTGTAAACTACATCCCAGCGCTCGCAAAGGATTCAACCTTCCCTGAACCCTGTGGTTGCAGAGCCTCCCTGTCCTTTCCCGTTCGTTAGTGGGACTCAGTGACTGTGGAACAAAAGTAAGTTCATTGCTGCGAAGGGCAGGCAGCCACTCTAGGGAAAATATGATGTATTGTGTTGTGTAGGAAAAAGCCAGTATTACCAGATACAGTAATCTGGCTTTTAGACAGAGACATGATCCCTAATGTGCTGTCTGTGACTAAGTACAGAAATTATATTGTCTTCAAAATCAGGTTTTAAATCAGTGTGTGCTTGCCTTGTCTGTTTCTTTTATATATGAAATATATTTTACCTAAGCATATTTTCTTTTTCTTTTGGAAACAACTAGATTGCTTCTCGTTACATAGTTAGCACACGTTGAGCTCCTATTGTGTACCAGTCTCTGTGTAAAATGTCAAAAGTATAAAAAGCCCAGGGAAATACAGTTGTCAGGTGGCAGATGAGAAGAAGACAAGAAAGCATGTGTTAATTACTGTCCTTGTGCTGTCTCAAAAATATGTGAAAAAGCAACCTGGGAAGGGATGATTTTTGTCCTTGCCAATTGCTTGGGGGTGTAACTGACCATCGTGGGGAAGAGTGCTAGCAGGGGGTGATGTGGTGGTGTCGCCAGTCGGGAAGCATAGAGAGAAGAAGGCTGATACTCAGCTCATCCTTCCTTTTTTTTTCTTTCATATCCAGTCCAGGTCCTCAGCCCGGGAGATTCTGCCCCCCACATCTAGGCTAGGTCTCCCTCCTCCCCAGTAATGTCACTTTGGAAAGGCATGTGCCTGCATGCATACCTGTGCTTATGAACAAACAGATAAATAAACAAATGCATTTTGAGAGTGTAAAAAGATGATATAACCTTGTAGGTCTTTTTGTTTGTTTTGGAGACAGTATTTCACGAGTCCCAAGCAGTCTTTGAACTCACTGTGTGTCCTGCTTTGCTTCCTACTGCTGTAATAAAGACCATGATCAAAAGCTACTTGAGGAGGAAGGGGTTATTTTATCTTTTAGCTTGCACTCCATGTTGAAGGCAAATTAGGACAGGAACTCAGAGCCGGCACTGAAGCAGAGACCATGGAGAAATGCTGCTTACTGGCTTGCTTCCAGGGTCACATTCAGTTACCTTTCTTACTCCTCCAGGGCCACCTGCCCACGGGTGGCACTGCTCATACTTCTGGGTTCTTCCTCATCAATCAGCAATCAGAAAATAAAAGGTCCCACCGACAGGCCTATAGGCCAATCTGGTGAAGGCATTTTCTCAGTTGAGGTTCCCTCCTCCCAGATGAGCCTAACCAGCATACTATATAACCATGGAGGTGACCTTAAATTTCTAACTTCAGAGTAGTGAGATTACAGGCGTGCACAACTATGTCCTACTTATGCCATGCTAGAATCAAACCCAGGATCTCATGCCTGCTAGGCAAGAATCCTACCAAATGATCAGAACCCTAGTCACATCCCCAGCCTTCCATGTGGCTTTTAAGTTCTAAGAAAAAAATATAGCAAAGCTTAAAAATTATATACTCACCCAAACTGCCAATTCATAAAATATAACAACAATAAAAAAAAAAGCATGGTGATGTGTAAAAGTAGAATCTTTACTTACAATGGTGAGACATTTCAAAAGCCCTTTACTGCCTTCTGTCATCGTGGGATCCCTGCCATACACCAGTAGATGAAAGCGCAGTGTCTTCCCTGAACTCTCAAATATGGGAGGTCTAAGGGTTTTCTTACAACTGTAAGAAGTACACGAGAACAGACAGAAAGTGAGTTGGTGGCTGCCAGGCTCTAGAGGAAGGAGGAACTGAAGAAATAGTCAACTGTAACTGGACTTGTCTTGTCCCGCCAGGTCCTGCCACACTTGAGACCCAAATAAACTCATGGATGCTATGTTAGTTATAAAACTGTTGGCCAATGTCTAGGGCTTCTTATTGGCTAACTGTCTTAATTATTAACCCATAACTATTAATCTATGCATTTCTACATGACCTTATCTTACCAGAGAATGCCTGGCACATCCTATCCTCCCAATCTCTGCTTGGTATCTCTCTGTGGCGTCTCTCTGCCTGCCTTTCCCAGAATTCTTCTCATATGCTAGTTCTACCTATCTTCCTGCCTCTATGGACCAAACTATGTTTTATTCATCAACCAATAAGAGAAACATATATACAGAAGGACATCTCCCATCAGCTAACAGGAATAAGGCTCCTTTTTGGGGTAATGAAAATGTTTTGAAATTTGATTATGGCAATTGGTTGTACAACCCTATGAACATACTAACCCACTTCAGTCAAAACAGTTAATTTTATGTTATGCGACGTTTATCTCCATAAAAATTACAGGTGGAAGGGTGAGGACTGGTTCTCCAGAAGTGAGGTCACTCATATCTCGTGTCTGTTCTTTATTCTTTTGCTAGTAAAGGGCAATCGCAAGTGTGAGTTGAACTGCCAAGCAACTGGCTACCGCTTCTATGTCAGACAAGCTGAGAAGGTCATTGATGGCACCCCCTGTGATCAGAACGGCACAGCCATCTGTGTGTCGGGACAGTGCAAGGTAAGTGCCATGGACTTGGGAGTGTGTGGAGTGGGTATTTAACCTGTGACTGATGGTTCTCCAGGACTGAGATGGCCGGCTTGTCAGCTCAGTGAGTTTGATCTTTGTGAGTAGCCCTGTGTCACACTAGCTTCTCAATCATTAAGTGATTTATTTTCACACTGCATGCTTCATAGGGGCTTTGACACTTGACAGTCTTTCCTGGTGAAGTCTAGTTCTCCCTCCCCACCTGTGAAGTTGGGGTTGTAGAGAGGGCATGGCTGTCTTAGTTGGAAACGGATGGCGCCAGTGTGGGGGCAGCATTTTAAGAAAATGGTGTATTTTATCCTGCCTCCCCCGCATGAGGAAAGCTTCCAAAAGAAGGTTGTTGAGTGCCTTTTATAGCAGAAGATGGGCTTTAAACAGGATGTTTCCCGTCTCCTCAGACTGAAATCTATTCTACAAACTCCCCACCCCACATTCAGTGGGATGCTCCATGGCGACAGAAAGTGACATTTAGTTAAAAACGTGCATCTTAAATAAGAGAGAGCAGACTTCACAACCACATATGTCCCTACCTAGTAGTCCTCTACCTCCTTTCATCTAGAGATGTATCTCTAAGCTAAGGCCTGATTGTTGCCCATTCAAAACAGGCTACAATGCTATTTCAGTTAGTGCTCCATAGCCTTCAGGATTGACTTTCATCAAAGGAGAAGCACTTTGGTTATCGTGTTTTTGAATGTAAATCTCTGTGTGCTTAATAACAGAGCTAATAAAGTACGATTTATTTATCTCTATGTACAACCCTCTATATACATACATACACACACACACATATGTGTATATATATATTCATGTGTATGAATGTAGATGTATGCCTCTTATACAGCACATGTGTGGAGGTTGTTATGCCCAGATTGTGAAGTTCCCTCCAAAACCAACAAGGAGACTGAGTCCTATATGTAAAAGCAAAGAGCCTGTATTCAAGCTTGAGCTTGGACTCTGTTCGATGAAGCAGTTGAGAGCAGAGAGTGCCCAGCCTGGATGGGGGTAGACTTTTTTGTTTTGTTGTATTTTAATTATTAGAATAGAGGTTGGGGGTGAGGGGATTTTCAGGGTTCAAGGCCCTGATTGGCTGACATTTGTCAGGTGACCCTGTCTACAATGGTTGGAATGTTAGGGGTTTCTTTTGGTTCCTTCCTCCTAAATGGTCCTTCCTGGGTGGTGTCTGGGTGGTCTCAGTCTGTTGTCTTTCCCTGGAGTCAGGTGTTGCTTTAGGGTAAACTGATAACTTAGGCCTACTTGAACCTTGGCATGGCAGCAGTGGCAGGTGTGTACCAGTCTGCCCTGGGCCCCACAGAGGGCAGAGGACAACCTTGGGTGTCAGCCCTTACCTTCTACCTTGTTTGGAGACAGGGTCTCCTGTTCTGCTGGTATTGCAACCCCGCGGTCCAAGCTTCCTGGGATTCTGCTTTCTCCATCTCCCATCTCTCCATAGGAGCACTGTACTTCCACATCTGGCTTTGTGTGGATGCTAAGAACACACATTCGAATTGCTGTTCCTGCTTGAATAGCAGGTGCTTTACCCAGTGAGCCATCTCTCCAGTGCCTCACCCCTGATGGCTTAGAAACCTCTTTCTCTTGCTGGTATGAATTGGCTTTGCTGTAGAGTTCAGCCTCAGCATCCCATCGTGACAGATTCCTGCATTCTCAGTTCCCAGAATTATATTATGATGTTAATCTGCAGAGAAGATCCATCTATTAGTGCTATTTTGAGCTGTGGTGATGAGAAAGTTTCAAATAAAATGTAAGAGAATGTACTGAATGCAATGTTGGTATCTCCGATGGAGAGTAAAGGAAGCTGAGAAAGATGAAGGTTCTCCTTGACATCTAATGTGAATGGAATGTTTTTGAAGGAGCCAAATCAGTAACAGGTCTTTCTTTGTACCGCCAGCTCCCAAATAACGACACTAAGACTTTTTATTAATTATGAAAGCTTGTCCTTAACTTAGACTTAACTCCTTTGTATTAATCTATATTCTGCCACATGGCTCACTACCTCTTCTCAATACCATATGTCCAACTTCCTACCTGCCTGGCTGGCAAATCTTTTGCACCACAGATTCTTTCCCAGAGTTCCTATCTATCCCTGGACGTCTGACCTATCCTCTTTTGCCTAACCAATCAGAGGGTGCTTTAGTCAGGTGAGGCTAAACAGACACATATTCACCCAGTATAAAGTGTTGGAACTGCGAGGTTTACCATGTGCTGAGCCTTGTGCTGTATGCTTTGTATTTGTGTGTGTGTGTGTGTGTGTGTGTGTGTGTGTGTGTGTGTGTGTGTGTGTGTGCACGTTACATACAGATGCCAGAGGTTGACAAACTTACCTTTCTCCGTTGATCTCTGCCTTTGTTTTTGAGACAAGGTCTCTCCCTTGACCTGGAGCTCACTGATTGATAAGACTAAGCTGGCTGGCTCGTGGGCTGCAACTGTCCACTTATCTCTGCCTACCCAGCCCTGGGACTAATAGGTACACAACCATTTCTTTGCCCATTTTCTCTAAATTGTCTCTTCTCTTTTGCTTATCAGCTTTGTTTTGTGTATTCTGCTTAATGTGCTCATGCTCTCTCCCTCTCTCCCTCCCCCCTCACTCTCTTTCCCTCTCCCTCTCCCTCCCCCCCCCCTCTCTCACACACACACACACACACACACACACTTTTTGAGTATGTATATTGGCATCCATTTAGAGGTCAGAGGACAACTTGGAGGGATCGATTCCCTCCTTCTACCATGTAGTTTCAGGAGGATTGAACTCAGATCAAAAGGTTTGGCAAGAAGCAGCTTTTACCCAGTGAGCCATCTTGCCAGCCTCATTGAGACTCTGCTTAGAATTACACCTGACTAATTGAATTGGGTAATCTGTTCTAAACAGTTGCAGGATTCAGCCTGGAGACAGGGTGGATGATTTCTCATTTACTTGAATGCTAAGCTCACCTGCCCCACTGGGGACTCTGATTGCTACTCCAGGAAATCATTCTAATGGTACCTTGTGCTGGTGACTAGTAAAAGCTCATCATGTTATGTCAACAGTGGCTGAGTGCCTAAACCAGGAAGACAGTTATATAAGGGGTGTGTATGTGTGATGCGTGATGGTTGTGTTATAATATTTATGATTTAATAAAGCCACTGGAGATAAAAATGCAAAGCCAGCCACAGTTCTAGGCAGGGTTGATAGACACCTTTAATCCCAGGACTCGGGAGACAGAGATAAATGGATCTCTGTGCGTTCAAGACCACCTGGGCTCCACAAGAGTGAATCAATCCAAAAGAGTAACAGAGCTCACTCCTTTAATCCCAGCAATAGGAAAGTGGAGACAGTGATATGGGTGAGCAGAGGGAGGAATATGAGGCAGGAGGAGACAGGAACTTGGGGCATTTGTCTCTGAGGATTCTTTGGAGAGCATTGTCTCTGAGAATTGGTAGAGACAGACTGGTCTGAGGTAGAGGTAAGAGCTAGTGGCTGGCTGCTTTGCTTCTCTGATCTTCAGCTTGAACACCAATATGTCTGACTTTTTATTACTTGTGTTGCAAATTGGCATCCAACATGGGGCACAAACTCATGACCCTGAGATTAAGAGTCTCATGTTCTATCTGTTACACATGATCATATATATTTTATCTTCAGTGGTTAATTTTTAAAAAATTATTTAACACATTATCTTAAATATATGAGTGAGTAAGCAAACTGGGAAGTGTTGGTAAACCTCTCCTGAAAAGTAGCAAGAATACATTTAATAGGGGACTATAACTTTGCAAGCCCTCATTCTGCTCTCAAGATCCCTAAAATCTGAATGATGTGAGTGGACCTGGCCATAGGCTGTTCCAGCTGACTAGCAGGTGACTCCTGTGGTATGTGCCCCTCTGGAACCTTCCTACATAGTCTTAAGAGGGTGGCCCACCCTGAGAGAGAAGAACTTTCTTGGGAGTAGCTCTGCTCCCCTGCTAGAAACTTCAGACAAGCTTGAAAAGTCCATGTGTGAAGCAGTGTAGGGTAGCCAGTCTTCCAGGACTCCAGCAAATGAGGCATTGCCTGTGGCAATCTGCCTTAAAAATTTTAAAGCTGAAACTGAATATAAACTTGATAAATATCCCTAGTTATATATTTCTTTTCTATTAGGTATTCTTTCTCTCATTTTTAACCACTCAGACAACTCCCTAACACATTAAATCTGTCTTGATCCCTTGATTAATATATGCTTGATTTTACTAAAGCACACTTACACACATATATACATGGACATTACAGGGCTCTCTTGGGTCCTGTCTTCTTGAAGGAAAGAATTCAGTCTAGAGACACAGTCAGAGCAGAAGTTCACTGAGCAAAGCAAACACTCAAAAGAAAATCTGGGAAACAACCCAGTGAGTTCCGTGCCATGAATGTTAAAGAACTTTTTTTATGAATATTCATGTGGCAGGTTGTGTATTCATGGTATAAGGTGACCCTTTGCCTTCCCAAATCATGATGGACAGGAGATCCCTTTTAGGGGATTTCCTCTTATGGTCTTATGGGAAACACACTACGAGTGAGGGAAGTGCAAATCATGTTACATTGAAGTCCAAGTGTTTTGAGGGCACAGACCCTTCCATGGCACATGTGTATGGGAAACTACTCTGATGGCTTGGTCACTGACACGACAGGAACACTGAGTCTGCAGCTTACATCATTTCTAACCACAAAGGGCTATTTTAACCAAGAGGCCCAGCTATCTCAGCCGTGTAAGACACAGTAGTAGTCTTCTTCAGTCGCCTCCTATCTCTTTGCCTGCCGGGTATCACTTACAATTCGTACTCACCTTCAGCACTACACATAATTCTCCATTCAACAGCTGGCAAGATCCCTGCCACACACTGGGGCTAAATGTTGGCCCCCAAACAACGGAAAAGACTAACACAGTTCCTACCACACTAAGCTTGAAGCCTAGCAGAAAAGAGTAATAAAAAGCCAGCTGAGTGGCAAAATA